GTTTTGTTGTTTTCGATTGGAAGAAAGTAGAATGGAAACAAGTGTGCTAAATACAACATCAATAATTTATAACACTTAAATATTCTCTTTGATGATTTTGATACTATCAGAGTTAATCAGGGTGCACATTTATTTTCAGTAATATGACAAGCATGTTTTGGCTGCTGGTTTGAATTTTCTCTTTATCGGATGATGGTTTGGCTGGCTTTTGAGACTGGGCAGATAGTTAGGCTAGTTTGACATATATCCAATTTTAGCAACCACATACTACATGTTATTGTTAGGGGGGTGAAATACTGAGTTAAAACATACATACCGTTTAATAGCAACTCTGTATACTCATATCAATATTGTTACGTGTTAGAGGTTCGAAGGATTTGGAGAGAAAGACCTGCTGACTCTCTTGAAGACTTTATTTACTAGCGCTAGGTGCAACACAAAGCACTAGGTCCAATCACTAAGCACTAACGATGTCCTAGATTGTAGCCAAGTCGTAGGTTTCACTGGTATTGCTCTTGATCACTAGTTTTCACTCCGAAGTCGCCTCGAAGGTAGCTCAAACTGAAGTGTGATCGCTCGCCTCCCTGCGGCTTTTTATATGGGCCGAGACCGGTTCCGGATTAAACCAGAAAGATCCTTCCTGGAACGTACCCGACACGCACGAACATGTTCGTGATTCCGGAAAGTTCGCGAATGTAACCGGTTTTCGAGACTATAGTTCCACAGCAGTTCCCCTCTTAGAGATGCTCGTCCCGAGCATCATTGTTACTGCCATGGTAACGCGCCAGAAGGTCTATGTGTACCACTTTGAATGTCCCTCTTGGTTGCTTTTGAATCCTATAAGTCACATCATTCAGTCGGGTAACCACTTTGTATGGACCGTCCCACTTGGTCTGCAACTTTGGGGATTTCCCTTTCCGACGAGTTGGGTTATGCAGCCACACCAGTGACCCTTCCTCGAAACCGTCAGTGTTCGATTTCCGGTCGTATCTAGTTTTCATGTTCTCACTTGACTGTAACCCATTTTCCCGAACCAAGGCGTGTATATAGCGCATTTTTTTCCTTAAATTGCAGACATAGTCTTGTACGGTCTCTGGTCCCTCCGGTGACCCTCCTGTCAATAGGTCTACTGGTAATCGTAGTTCTCTACCGTAATTGACATACGCGGGGGTAGCTTTTATGGTCTCATGCTCGGCGGTTCGGTACGACAGAAGGAAGAGTGGTATATACTTGTCCCAATCCTTTTGTTTGTCGTCTACCAATTTCGCCAGATGCCTCAAGGTTCTGGTTAAATCTCTCAACCATTCCATCAGACTGTGGGTGGCACGCAGTGGTCCTCGTCTTATGCATGCCCAAAATTCTACACACTTCCTGGAATACTTGCGATTCGAAGTTCCTGCCCTGATCGGAACGACATATCACTTCTTCGACTAACTTAGAAGCGACTGTTGTAGCTTCTTGGTTTGGTATGGCGAACACTTCGGGCCATTTGGTGAAGTAGTCCATGACGATCATAAAATACTTGTTTCCGGACTCCGTTACAGGAAATGGCCTAGCTACGTCAACTGCAATTCGTTTCCACGGTGCACCGACGTTATACAACCGCAGGTTCCCACGGCTTCTTGTCTGTGGTCCTTTTACAGCAGCGCAAGTAGTACATTTGCGGCACCAATCCTGTACATCATCTCGACAATGCAACCAGTAGAATCGTTCTCGCACTTTTTGTTAACGTCCTCTTGACACCTAGATGACCTGATACGCCATCATGTATTTCACGGAGAACATCTGGTACTCTCGTTCTCGGGACAATTATCTGAAGATGGAACTCTCTGCCGTTAGTCTTCTCCTATTTCCGGTAGAGTATTCCGTTTTGAAGTATCAGACTGTCCCATTGCGCCCAGTACGCCTTAGTGACAGCGCCAGTCTACCGCCCCGCGGCTTCCATGGTGCCGAAGGTCGTCGTCACTTTCTTGAGCCTCCCTCATAGCATTATTCTCCCAGAGATCCAAAGGACTTGTCCTCGTTAGCTTTAATGTAACTTCATTAGATTCCTGCTTAACACAATGTTTGCAGTCTTCCGAACACGGCCTTTGTGAGAGTGCGTCGGCATTCCCATGCATCTTTCGGCTGCGGTGTTCCGTCTTGAAGTCATCGAGTAGCTCAGTCACTGATCCGTAGTTGTTGCTGTTTGCTGGGGCTTCCTCCGCGTCAGCCAGGTCTCGCCACTTCGTACTGGCTTTCATTCGTTTCCCTGAAGCCCCTTGCTTCTTCAGCTCCTCTATTTGTTCCTCAATCCTTTTCATCCTTGCCATCTGGGTCTCCTTATGCGGGCAGTTGAGCTGAAGATGGCCCCTTTCGCCGTACTTGTAGCACATGGGTCCAGAACTTCTCTTCGTAGGAGCCTTAACCTCCTTGGCTTCCTCAGAGACCTCGTGGATCTTATGAGTCTGCCGCACGTCATAGCGAACAGCCTCGACCTCCAAAGCGTGCGCCAATGCCTCCTTTAGCGAGGTATGGTGACGAAGCCTCACCGCAGCTCTGACCTCCAGGTCTTTGATTCCTTCCACAGATGCTTGAACAATATTCGTGTCTACCATATTGGCGTCGGCTCCTGGGTGTGCCTTCCTGACGAGTTTTTCAATTTCCGACGCCCATTGTTGTAGTCCTTCTCCTGAGCGATGGACTCTGTCACGCAGTTGAGCACGGAACACGTGCTCCAAGTGTCGCTCCCCGTATCTGGACTCAAGTGCCTCCATCAGGTCTTGGAACCCATTTCCCGTATGTGGCAGTGCTTCCAGGACCGACAAAGCTTGCCCTCTGAGCGCAACAGTGAGAGCGGTCAGGCATTGCTCTTCCGTCCATCCGTTGGCAGTAGCAACAGTCTGGAATTGCCGACGATAAGCGTCCCAAGAAGTAGTGCCGTCGTATGGCGGCACTTTCACTCTTGGTCCTTGTGCCACTCCAGTAGTGCCACTAGACATCGCAACTCCCGTGGTTTCAAGGCGCACTACTTTCTTCTGTAGTTCAGTGAGGCCGCGTTTTCACATTTTCAACATCCAATCCTAACCCGGTAACTCGTTCTTCCACTACGTCGACATCTTTTCGAAGCTTAATCACCGTGTTACTAACATCATTTATAGCCCAAAGCGCTTTTTCTTGGAGGTCTTTTCGTTGCTCTTGTGACTCTTGCAAAGCGCCGAGCTTGCGTTCTTGCGACTCTTGCGAAGCGCCGAGCCTGCGTTCATATGATTCCTTCATTGCTTGAATTTCAGCCCTTTGCAGCTCCATTAGTTCAATTAAACCTCCTAATTGAAGAGGCACTTCAGAGGGTGCAGAAGGTACGTTGCCGCTGGTGGGCGTGGCAAGATGGGCGGAGACTGTGGGCGCGGCCCGGTGGGTGGAGTCAATGGGCGGTGCTCGCACCAAAGGGGGCGGGGCCTGAGCCCGACTGGGTGGGGCCTGAGGCCGAGTGGGCGGGGCTTGTGCTCGAGTGGGCGGAGTCTGAGGGGCGTGGCCTGGTCGGTGGGGCCAGTGGGCGGGGCTTGGTCCCCAGTGGGTGTGGCCTCCGCAGCTCGTGCCCTTGTCCTGACACCCTCCTTGAAGTCCTCTCTCGGAGTCAATGGCATCTCCAAATCCCACTTCTGACACCAGTTGTTACGTGTTAGGGGTTCGAAGGATTTGGAGAGAAAGACCTGCTGACTCTTTTGAAGACTTTATTTACTAGTGCTAGGTCCAACACAAAGCACTAGGTCCAATCACTAAGCACTAATGATGTCCTAGATTGTAGCCAAGTCGTAGGTTTCACTGGTATCGCTCTTGATCACTAGTTTTCACTCCGAAGTCGCCTCGAAGGTAGCTCAAACTGAACTGTGATCGCTCGCCTCCCTGCGGCTTTTTATATGGGCCGAGACCGGTTCCGGACTAATCCAGAAAGATCCTTCCTGGAACGTACCCGACACGCACGAACATGTTCGTGATTCCGGAAAGTTCGCGAATGTACCCGGTTTTCGAGACTATAGTTCCACAGCAGTTCCTCTAACGCCATCTAGTGTTGAATAGGGGGTTTTATGTCGTCTTTGTTCTTTAGTGGTTTTAATACTTGACGCTAGATGGCGTTAGTTCCTTCGTGTGTTCATAACAATATATATAACTGTTGTGTATACATTATTGCGCCTTTTTATATTGATATAAGCAGTAGTTAGGGAGCAATGCATGTGTGTGACATGCAGCATTTCAGTTAACACCCCTGGGTGTTTGTTACAAATTATTGAATTGCAATATTTCCTCCTACAATTTAGTCTATTTATTAGCTAGATAAATATTTTACAGCTTCAGAGATACTTGTAAAAACTGAGATTTATTTTTTATTATCACATATGAGAGAATATTGATCAATATTAATATAAAAACTATTTGTTTTTCAGTGCCAAGATGGCGCCTTCACCGGACATCCTTGTCCCTCGACAACTATCACCACCCTCATCTGTCAACCTTCCGGATCAGCTTGTATTTATTCCTTTGGTAAGTTCTTATAAAAAAGTTTGTGCAGAAGCTCATGTCCTTTAGATGTCACTCAGGTGGCCCTAAACACGTCTAAAGTAATAACAACTGTTTACACCATCATACACCTGTATTTCTGGACTATGCTTAGTTATTTACAGAAGTACCAGAAGATTTCATTCCTATTTATTAATTTAATCAAGTTATATGCTAATTTACGTCACCCCTTTCTTTGCGATGTATGTGTCTTTTAGAGGTTTGTTGGTTTAATTTATAATATTTTATCAAGTGGCTTGTCACTCTTTGGTTTGATGCCTTTTATAATTCTTACATAATGGATCCGGGTAATTAATTGTAATAAAATGGATCCAGGAAAAAAGTAATTCGCGCTTAATTTTTCCAGAGTACCAGTACCATCTACAACTCTGAGGATGAGTGCAAGCTCCTGGGATTGGTCGGCGGCTTCGGCCGACGGCCTGCTCACTAACGAAGAATGTTCTATGCTGCTCGATGTCGACCTTTTCAAAACTGATGATGGTGCGTATCAAATATAAATTAATCAATATTAATAATTTTGCTAGCAGTGCTGTCTTTGTTTAAGTAATTAAAAAATGGGTAAGTATATGGTAATTTGCGGTTTTAAATTACCAACCCTTTATATGTAAGAGTGTGAAGTTGGCTTCGATAGTGTAAAGTTATCCTATTTAATTTGGCATGTAATAATATAGTGTACGAATCTCTCCAGATCACATAACGATGTTAAAATCCTGGTAAAGATATATATGCCTTGCTCTTGTAGTTGTTATGACATAACCTGTCGGTAATAACTCTGTCAAAGTTCCAAATTTTTATTCCTCTAAAAGTGAAAGACATTATTGAGATAAGTACATTCAAAAATTCACACAAAGTTATATTATAGGTTAATAATAAAACTAGGTTTTGGCTAAGTCATGCGGTTGATGCTTTGTTTGAAAATTAACTTGTCACTTCTAATTTATTATGCTTATGCAATTAATGAATGAATCTTAATAGATTTAAGATAATTAGTAAAGTAATTATTAGTTGTAAAAAGCAAATAACGAAAGCCTGGGCGGGCGTATTGTTCCACGACAAACCAAAAAACGCCGCTGAATTAGAAATAGCTTTGTTAATAAAGTGAACAACGTTCTTATCCTTGAGAATTTTCGGTACTTCTGGCTATTTTTCATCCCGTAAAAAATATGTACCTGATGCCGAGGATTTAGGTTATATTAAAAATTATAAACTTAATAATACCCGTTACGTTTGTGTTTGTTTTAATTACTCGCGTTATAAGTTGTATTTTTGATGTGTAATGCTGATAAACAAATGATCACAAAAACATGTTACATAAGTAGTATTAATACTTGAATGACAATAGTTTTAATGTATCTTCCTTATTTATGGCATACCGATAAACGTAATGAAGACGTAAAACAGGTTCTACTTGATGACTCTGGTGCGCAATTGCCAAGGCTTCAGTGCTGGGGGTCGTGGGTTTGATTCCCACACGGGACAAATTTTTGTGTGACCAGTTGAAGATTTCTTCAATGATTTCGAGAATTATCCTTTTTGATTGATGTTGGTTACGCGTATTCAATTACATTACAATTCATCAATTTCTACTGGCGTATATTATTTGCGCATGTATAGGACCTATTATGTCCTATACTTGCATGACCTTCGCCCACACGCACCCCACTTGCTTGCACAAATTGCAAATCGTTCAAAATAAGTTCATCCGCCGCGCAACCGGTGCGCAGTGGTATCAACGCAACGTCGACCTGCACAGTGACTGCAGACTCCCGACGATTCGCGATGATTTTAAAGATCTCACCAAATGGTTCTTCGACAGAGCCGAACATCAACCCAACCCTCTGGCGGTAAGCGCAGCAAATTACCAACCCGACATTAACGCGAACGTCAACAAGCATCGCCCGCGTAATGTCCTCATCGACCCAGCCGCGGAAGGGGACTTAAGTACGTCGGACACACTGTCGGGGCCCCCGCCAAATAACACTAGACAGTCAGTTAGTGCATCAACAAACACCATAGTTCGTCCTCGCCTTGCAGCACGGCGAAACCAACACAACGCGTACACTAGGTACATCCGCGTTGCAGGAACTGTCCTGCAACGCGGGAGAACCGTCACACCACCCCCAGCCACCGACTAAACAAGCACAGTCGACGGCCATCGGGGTCACGCAGTCCGTAGGCGACACTCCTTAGCTAACGCACCCATGAGCACATGCACGGCCCTACCCACTATGGAGGGCCTCAAACCCGTGGATTCGGGCTAGCCCTCCGGTTCTGAGTTTGATGAAGCTTTAGTAGTCACGGGACAGAAGACGTTAACATCAGTTAATACAAGATACAAGAATAGCTAATTTGGTATTTATTTTAGTCTGGAGTGGCGATATTAATTATAAATGGGTAGTTATAGAATGCATGATGACGTAGCTCAAATATTCAATTGTTGTTAGCAGCATGCTATGCAATCGTATTTTTGATTCCTTCCGAGGTTAGAATGAACCGCCAGGAAGATCAAGGCTATTTTCCTTGATCACCATCTTTTTTAACTTGCGAAATTTGTAAAACATCTTCTTGGAGAGGTACTCTCCAACTAATGAAAGCTGGCAGTGAGCACTTTGAAAAGATAGAGAAACTTTTTTTTCATGTTTTGAGTCTTTAAATACATTGCCTTAAGAGGCTACAGTAAGCTGTAGGATAGTATTTTCCTGTATTGTAAGGTATTACATACACATAAATTTCACGTGGACAAACATCTGAAACAATCACGAAACAGTCACAGAAATAGTTGTATTGAGTAGGAATCGAAACTAAAACCCCCGGCGCCGAAGCTAATATTTTGGCAACAGCGCCACGGAGTTATCAAATAGTTAATACTTGCTTTCATTAAAGTCGGGATCGTTTATATAATATTTTGAATAAAGAATGATTAAAATTACTGTTTAAAACAGTAACTTAAAGTTTGGAAATAAGGTCTATCTCATGCAAATAATTATAGAATAAAGTCACGTCTTTCATTTTTGGGAGGATAAATTACAGCTTAAGAATATCAATCAAAAACAAATCTTTATATATTTATACAGTAAGAACACAATTTGTCAAAAAAGTATACGAATAATGAGTCCAAAACTTCCGATAACTTTCGAACATTATCATAGTACCAAAATGCTCTTTAAAATAAGTATTTATTAAAATTCATAATTTCAATTTACCAAATCGTTTATCTACATTTCCTTTCTCTTTTCTTAAGCAACAAAGTTTACTCAATTTCTGAAAACTAAGATAGATGAGGTTCAAAGTTACTTAACATTGATTGGTTAGTGTTTTATATTTCAATATTTCAAGGTGAAAGAGTAGAACACCGAGGACGTAAGCTGCACTCTCAGTGGTATTTCATAGGCGATGGTTTCGCAGTCACAGTGAATCGCTTGTGTATTTACCAATTCCTAAAATGTTTTAGGTTCACTAATAGTGCGACGTACCGAATAGTAAGGAAATAAAGACCTTAGTAAATGGATTTTTGTGTGCGGCAAATATATAAATCCCTTTGAATAGGCTTTGGAGCCATTTACTTTAAATGTATAATAAACTACCGACTGGCTTAGGTGTATCTAAGAGAGAGATGTTCAGAGTAGAATTGTAGAGTGCCAGGCACGCTTGCCAGGTTTACATATTATGTAAACCTGGCAAGCGTGCCTGTATATGTATATATTATATACATATGAAATATGTTTGTTATAAACTAAGACGAGTAAAAAATAACCCAATCCTTCTAACTAAGAGATTTCAACAGCACATTTGTAGAAGATTTAAATCTAACTTAACAAAGTGCTATTGATAGTGTAAGTATGCCCAGATGGTTGTCAGTCAGTTGTGACAGCAAGAGGAGATAACGCTTAATACTGTGAAGCATTTCTGCGAAGCAAACATATTTTTTTTCAAAAACTATTTTTTGGTTGTATGATAATTTTTATTGATTTAATCTTATGTCAATCTTGAAAATCCCAAAAGCAGTGTGTATATTAATTTATCGATGTATGTTACGGTTTTATTCTAATAATAACATGGGTATAGATAGAACGGAATGTAACATAAAATTTCTCCCATAGACATTGTTTTATTTTTACCCGTATGCTTCATAGCAAAAAGTATGTAGTCGTATATCTCTTGTCTTCTCGTAAATACTAAATGGTTGAACCGATTTTCGGTGGCAAAAGTTTTAAATTTTTTTTTTCATACCGCAGTCGGCTTTTTTCCCAAGTATTGATATATTTAGTAAGAACGTAGCAAGTGAACAGGGCCAGGTGGTCCATCCGATGTTACGTAAATACCACCGCGCGTGGACATCTACAAGTTACAGATGCATTTGCAAACTTCCAAAGGCCCTTGACTTGACACTAATTACCTTATTCACCATATCAAATATTGGTGCTTGAGGAGAGTGTAATGTTGTCACAATTATTTTCAACATATTGTTTTTCATAAGTTTGATACCCAAGGAAAACTGTAAACAGATGTTCTAACTGTTGATATAAATATTTACAAATGAATTAATGAATGAAAATAATTCCCCTGGGAATGAGTGGACTCCAACCTATTTAAGAAATATGTTTAATATTTTTATGTTTTGAGAAAAACAAAATGATAATGAAAAGGGATACCTACTGAGTTTCTTGCGGCTCTTTCTTTTCCGTTGGACGTATCTTATTACGAAACGGTGGTGGATTTAAAGAAATGACAATGAATGAATTAACCGTACATCAGCAACCTTGCGTTCGTGTTTGAATTCGATCTCAATGCGGGAAAAAAATTGCGTGGTACCTTAATAGACATTTCGAGTCTGGTTTTACATGATTTCGTGTTTGACGAACCCTCCGCGGCACATGGATCCCTAGCGCCGCATTTAAAGAAAATAGAGAACAGCTTCTGGCCCCAACCAGAAACGTCAGTTAGCCTTTAACTAGCATTGAATACATTGACGTGTAAGTGTTGTCTTGTAAGACTTACCTTCGCCAACTGAACGACTGTACACCATACGCGATATCATATCTATAATCCACAAACGTTTTATGGAAATATAACTGTCACGCTGGTATATCACATATCTTGCCAAATGAATGTATCAGATTATTATCGTTCACTTTGCCCAGACAAACAAAAGTTATTTTTAGTTATTTAATTTTAGATGACTTATCAATATTAAATCAATTTTATAAATTAACGGCTGGATTTAGTGACACCGTATCGTTCAGTTGGCGAAGGTAAGTTTCACCCACCGGTGAGCCTTTCTTTACCTTTACCTAAAAGGTACTGCACCTTTATCGGATCAAATGACATCATTTTTCCAGTAGATTGTGAAAAACAGTCAAATGGTACAGAAAACCTGCGATTAATTTGTTATCGAATACGTCAATTGTCCATGCTTTGACATTGTACAAGACCACAAAAATCCAGATTGTGGACTTCAGAAAAGAAATTCTGATGAATCT